CACTATAAATAACTCCCAGTACACTGGCAATTTTTGAAGATATGTAACTGACATGACTTTTCCAAATAAGGTACTCATCTATGTAAACTCCTAAAAATTTAGTTGAATTAACTCTGGTGAGCAACACATTATCAAATTTTACATTCAATTCATTAAAATCACCTCCAACCTTTCTTCTCCTGAATACAATATAATTAGTTTATTTCATATTAACAACAAGTTTATTAGCAGTGAACCATTTGCAAACTCTACTCAGTTCTTGGTTTAAAACCTCATTTAAATTTTGCACAGTTTTACCTGATAATAATATATTGGTGTCATCAGCAAATAAAACAAAATTAAGCTTGTCAGACACAAAGTGAAGATCATTTATAAACAACAAAAACAATAAAGGACCAAGAACACTGCCTTGGGGTACTCCTGTTGAAAGGATCTGTGATTGAGAACAAACATTATTAAATTTAACAAACTGTTTCCTATTCAAAAGGTAATTTTTGAACCATTTGAGAGGAGTTCCCCGTATGCCATAAAATGATAGCTTTTGTAACAAAATAGAATGGTTAATACAGTCGAACGCTTTAGATAAATCAAGGAATATACCAACTGGAATTAGCTTATTTTCCAATGCCTGAGTAACAAGATTTAAAAATTCAATTAGAGCCATGGATGTTGAGTGTTTTTCACGAAACCCAAATTGTTTAGCATATAAAATATCATTCTTATTCAAGTAGTTAATGAGACGTTTGTAGACCAATTTTTCTAATATTTTTGAAAAGATTGGCAAGATAGAAATAGGTCGATAATTTTCTATTTTTTCTTTACAGAGATTCTTATAAAGGGGTATTACTTTTGCTAACTTTAATTGATCTGGAAGTTGTCCTGAAATAAAAGACTCATTAAAAATATGACAAAGGTGTTTGGCATAAACATGTATAGTTTTCTTAACAATCTCTGGTTCAATATCATCATGTCCGGCACTTTTATTTGCTTTAAAACTACGAACAATCTCGACAATTTCTCCCTCAGTAATAGGTTTTAAGAAAAAAGAATTGGAATAATTACCTTGTAAAAAACAATTAAAGTCATTTATGGAAGAGCATTGATTGCCTAGTGAGGCTCCAATAGAAACAAAATAGTCATTGAACAACTCTGTAATTCTTATATTGTCATAAATTTTGTCACCTTCATTTAAAATAAATTCAGGACGGACACCCTGGGGTTTCCTCCTTATTATTTCATTAATGTACTTCCAAGTCTTTTGCATATTGCCTCTCACGGACTGAAACTTATTTAAATAATATTCTTTTTTCACATATCTTATATCTTTATTCAGCTTATTCCGAAATGTTTTAAAATTACGTTCTCTCTCTAGTGATGGTTTGGAAAGATATTTTTTATACAATCTATTCTTCTTCTTACACCGTTTTTTAATTTCGTTAGTAATCCATAGTTTAACACTTTTCCTTTCCTTAATTGTAATCTTTTTAAGTGGAAAACAGGAATCATATATGTTTTTAAAAGCATTCATGAATAGATTATACTTCATATCAACATCAGATGTATTATACATATTTTGAAAATTCAAGGTACTGAAATTTCTATTAAATAATTGAAAACCAGAGTCAGTTATATTGCGTTTATAAAATACTCTTTCGGAATTCACTGGTTTATTCCAAGAGAGAGTGGCAAATATAGGTAAATGGTCTGTTATATCAGTCAATAGAATACCAATTTTTAAAAATTCATGTACTGTATTTGAAAAAATATTATCGATAAGAGTTGCACTTTCCTTAGTAATTCTAGTCGGATTATAAATAATTGGGAAAAAACAATGAGATGCCATTAGTTCGGCAAAGTCATTTACATAAAGGCACACATCCATTTTCATTAAATCAATATTGTAATCGCCCATAAGATAACAGTCTTTATTTTCTTTTTGGAGGTTGGATAACACTGTATAGATATCATTGATGAACATTCCAACCGATTGATTAGGCGGTCTATACATAGCTCCGATTAAAATATTTTTGTCACTCTCTCTTGGAATTTCAATAAAGATCATCTCATATTGTTTGTTTACCACAGTAAGATCAGAACGATGAAAATATTTTAAATTATCGTGTATCAGAATTCCTACACCTCCTCCACGACCTTCAACTCTGCCACAGTTTACATAAGAATAATTTGGAGGAACAAATAATGAAAAATTTTCATCCTGATTTATCCAAGTTTCAGTTAGACCTATCACATCAAATGTGACTGACAGAGAAGTTATATAATCAAATATATTTTCATAATTCTTCCTTAGGCTACGACAGTTAAAATGTATAAATGATAATGAAGTCTTTGAGTCAACTTCATTCATAAACTCATTGAATTGATCTTCTAGAAGGTATGGTGTACTATCCTCTTTGCAGAAATCAGATAAAGGCATTAGAAAAAGTACCACCCACTATACATGTATATTACAGCTATATAAATAATGGTTAAAAATGTACCAACCACAAGAATAGGTTATGGCATACAAGATTGATACATGTACCACCACTACAACAATAATAAACAACACCCCACAGTATCTTCAACAGCTAAGAGGAAGAACAACAAAAAAATTACAAAAAATTACAAAAATTACACACAGCCAAGGAATTATAAAAAGGTCTTTATAAAAAAGATTAAAATATTTTACTTAAGTTAATAAAAAATAAAGTCTCATTGACAAAGACTAGGATACATTAGATTCATACAACTATGTACACAATAACAAATATAAATCAGTATGAAAAATACAGCAAGTGAAATGTCACTGTCATGAATCTTGACACTATCATAATCAGTGAAAAAAAAAAAACATATTACTGGCAAGTGAGGAAAGAGAACTACCACACAAGTTTCGGGAGAGTGTTTAGAAAGTCAATGTTTGGGATAAGTCGTCTTACAGACTCACCATGAGTGGATGGAACATTCGCAAATACCTTCCCATCCATAGTCCAGCAGGTTGTGACTCTATCGCTCTTCTGGGTAGCAATTAGCAAACTGTGTCTATAGCGGGTAAGGTCCTCATGAACTGAGATTTTTGATTTCTTAAGTTTCTTTTTCTCCTTCAAGATTTCTCTCTTTTTTTTGTGGGAAGTAAGCTTAACGATGATTGGACGCGCTTTCGGTCCACCTGGCTTGCCCACACGATGCGAGCGGTCGATGTCAGAAGACCGAAGCTCGACTCCTAGTTGCTTTACCATGATGTCAATCACGACATCATCGGTGATCTCACCTGCACTTTCAGGAGAACCAAAAACTCTGATGTTGTTTCTCCTAGAGTACTGCTTCAGCTCCTCAAGTTTTGTGCTTTAGGCTTAGCTCGAGTATTCATTGCTGATTGTCTATAAAAACTCTAATAGAAAACGAGGTAAATTTAATGTAGCGAGACGTTTGATGAGAAGGATGATGAAAAATATATTGCACAGCGGAAGTAAAAGTAATCAGATTCCGGCACAGGTCAGGTGAGTTCGCATGAAATGAGTCGATGGCGATGTACATGTAGGCATGTACACACACGCAAACAGAAAATGTAAATGACCGCACGCAACAATTGGTAGATGGGACTGTACTATAGTCCAAGTCTCACAGAAGCAACACGTCTCAAAATACAAATAGTTACAGTATCATAAATTACCTCTTATGAGCACAAACCCAGCGCTTTAAAAGATCCAGTGACAGTAGAAGAGGGTTCCAAATGAGTTTACATGGCTAAAAAGAAATAGTTCCAGGTAAAAAAGGTAAAAGTGATTGGCAAGATTCAAATCACGCACGATAGCGTCCACCAGCCCTCAGATTTGATTCAGATTTGATTCTTGGCTTATATGATGGATTAGTCGTATAGTTTTTTAATAATTTGGAAAGGGGACTTAAACTTGTCTTGAATGGTCATATTGTTTAACATATTACTGAAATTACTCCAAAATCCTTGATTTTAGGCCATTCTGGGGTCGGTACCATGGCAACCGTTATAAATGGTAATGTAATTTGCATTTCATTACTTCTCTTCATGGTGAGGTATTCTAAACTTTCATTCTCTGGGCCTGAAAACCTGGATATAGACACCAAAAGGGACTTTCAACACCTCTCCAATGCCAAAATATAGCAAAAAATATGGCATATAGTACCGTACAGGGCATCTTGTTAACACTAATTCATGTTGCCATTGTAATAATGGGAAGGTACTATATAGCATATTCTTGGCTTATATGATGTATTTGTCATATAGTTTTGTCATTATTTTGGAAAGGGGGCTTTAACTTGTCTTGAATGAGTATTTTGTGTAATATAATACTGAAATTACTCCAAAATCCTTGATTTTGGGCTATTCTGGGGTCGTTACCATGGCAACCGTTATAAATGGTAATGTAATTTTCATTTCGTTACTTTCTTTTATGGTGAGGTATTCTAAACTGTATATTTTTACGCATTCAAAAGTGTTTTTATAATTTGTAAATGACTTTAACTGTTTCTTTGAATAATACCGGTTTTATTGTTGTGTTGCCATGGAAACTGCTGATTTTACGACTAAGCTGTCCATTCGGAAATGCTATCATAACTTTTTACACGTATATATGCCCAACAAACAAACAACAAGTAAAAAGGTTTTGCCACCTCTGGTGGTACCAATATCTGGTCTGGCCCATGGACTAATACTGTATATTTGTCCAATATGCCATTTTAATGCCCTGTATTAACCAATTACTTGGTTTTCTCCGGGATAATTTACGTCTCCATTGTCATACAAGTTTGATAATTGATGACGTTTATTTGATTGTTAGTATATAGTCTATGCCCTCTTGGTGACAATATGGTAAGAATACTCCCCAGGGAGTGGAGATAGTGCACATTATGCGTGAATGAATCCGATAACCAGGGAAATAATATTTGTAAAGCGCTTAGAGACGGTATTCCGTATAGGGCTATATAAATCCAGATTATTATTATTATTATAGTTAATAATGCTAATAAAAGAAATACTTACCGCCATTACAACCCAGCCCTCTGATGGGAGTTGAATGATGTCCATAAGGTGTGACCGATATTCTTCTACTGACTCCTGCGAATCCCAACTGTCTACAGATAACAATGACGTCAAAGATACCAAGATTTACTCCACATGTTGTCTCCCATGTTCCATTGTCTATCCTGATCTCAACTGTGCCTTTATTGGAGGTTGGACCACCAACAAGGCGTAAATCTTTCGCAGTAAAGGAACAAACAAACAAGGAGTAATGGTTATAAAAATTGAGAACTGTCAGCAATATTCTTATGTAATTAGAATGATGACATTAATAAGATTTGCTATACATATACGTAAACAGAAAGGGCTTTCATGATGTTAAAGGTAATACAAAGTTTTGGTATGGGTTATGAATTTAGTTCAAATATACATAAATTGGAAGCATATGCGATCCTACAATATTCAGTGATCATTGTCGCGGTTGGAAATAATTTTGTTATGTTTGTTGTGTTTTTGAGGAAACTCCCCCCCCCCCCCCCTTTTTTTTTTTTAACACAAGAAAAAAAAATATTCAGCGGCTGGCTAAATCGTTGCGAAATTTTCGGCGTGATTTTCAAATTTTAACCCCCCCCCCCTCCCTCGAAAAAATCCTGCGTACGTGCCTGGGTTGAATTCATATTTGTCGACACTACAATAGTTTTTGCCCCCCCCCCCCTTCCCGACGGCCTGAAAATATCAGAGATTCGAAAAGTAATATTCTTGCTGAAATATATAGATCACCATTTGGATCGGATGCTAGGGCACCCCGCCCCTCCCTGACGCCAAGGTCCTGATACACCATTGTATACAATAGGGATTTTAAGATTTGCACGACGAGAACGTGGACTGCTAGGTGTGACGTCCTTTTAAGGCAATGCGACGTCTTTTTAAGGCACTACCGGGCCCGTCACATTGCCTTAAAAAGATGTCACACGTGGCAGTCCATGTTCATGTTAAAAAAGGATGTTTTCATTCCTCAACAGTTTGGTTTTCGGAAACACTTCTCCACTAGCATGGGTGTCTTTAATCTGTTGAATTCAGTTACAAAATCCTTTGATGATGGTACATATTGCTTAGGAATTTTCCTTGACTTGTCAAAGGCATTTGTCACCATTGACCACTCTATCCTACTAAGAAAGCTTGAGCACTATGGTGTACGTGGAATAGCATTAACCTGGTTTAAAAATTACCTATGTCATCGAACTCAATATTGTTGTGGTCAATGGTGTCAAATCCCAGACTACTGTCATTCAGTATGGTGTACCACAAGGATCAGTGCTTGGTCCTCTGCTATTTTTGATTTATATCAACGATGTTATCAATACGTCAATTTTATTTACATACTCACTATTTGCAGATGATACTAGTTTGATGTTATCCCATAAAAATTGTGTTACTTTAATGGCAATTGCAAATGATGAAATTAAAAAAATTGTTTGCATGGTTTTGCTGCAATAAGTTGTTGCTAAATATTCAAAAGACAAACTGTGTTATTTTCAGATCCAGGGGTAAACGAATTCCAAACAATGTTGATCTTCTGGAGGTAGGAGGTCATAGAGTAGCGCGAAGTGAGCATGTTAAATTCATCGGTGTTATTGGATGAGTACTTGTCTTGGAAACCCTATTTGGATGCTATAGGCACAAAGATTTCGCGAAGTGTTGGTGTCATATGTAGGTTAAGGTTTATCCTACCTAAGATTGTTTTGTTAGTTTTATATAACAGTATTGTTCTCCCTTACCTTACGTATTGCAATGCTGCATGGGGTAACACTTTCAAGACTTATATTGATAAACTTAAAATATTGCAAAAGAAAGTTATTCGGCTTGTTATCAATTCCAACTTCAGACAACCTAGTAGCCATTATTCCTTGAGATAAAATTGATGCCTTTAGATGAGCTTGTGTCACTCAGTAGTATGATTTTTGTGTTTAAACTTAAGTTTTGTACTCAGACTTGCCTGCTAAAAGACCTATTTTCCTGTAAATCTCAGATACATAGCTCGGTACACGTCAAAGTAACCTAGTGCATCAACCTCATGTAAGGACAAATGTTGCACTGAATTCCTTTCGAATCACATGTATTAAAGAGTGGAACCATTTACCCGCAGACACTAAGGACATTACCACTCTTACTAGATTCAGACTTTTGTGTAAATCATATCTGTTAGATAGATTGAAATAGATTGCCGCCAATACTGACTGTACGATATTATAGCAAGGATTAGCCAGTTAGCTTCTGTATGCGTGTGTGTGCGTGTGTGTGTGTGTGTTTGAACGGGCGTGTGTGAGTGTGTGAATTTGATGCTTATAGCATGATAAGCCGGTATACGGCTGGGGGCGGGGGTAAAGGTGTTCATGATGTTGTCAGTGATTCAGCTTTTTTTCCTTCTAAATGTTTTTAATTTATATAACCTTGTAATCAGTTATTGTTAATACATGCTTTTTTCCTTGTAAATATGTTTTTAAAATACACAACCTTGCCATTTCCTTGTAATAGTTTGTGTACATTACCATGATTTTTGTTGTTGTAAATGAACTTCTTGATCTCGGTTGGCGGACTCTAGATCTGGGACCTGCTTGTTTTGGGGGCTCTGCGCGCGTCATACTGTATCGTATCCATGATCGTATCCTACCATCTTTCATGTTTTGAATTGCGCAGATCCTTGAAACACGTTGGTCTCTTTGCCAATCCGCTGGGATTAAGAGGTCCATCCTCCACAGGGGCCCCACTCACAAGCATTGCCTTTTGGGGTCTCAATTTGGATCATGTTTGTTCGTCATGATTTACTATGCCATGTGTTTTTTTAATAAACTGAACTGAACTGACTGAACTGAACTGAGACCCTCTAAATTACGCTCAGGTTGTCTTCGTGTAAGATGCATAAATGCACTTTTGTGAGCGTTTTACAGACGTATTTTCCCCTGGTTTTTGCGTTAGAGTAGATATTCATTGATTTTAAAAACTAACTTTATTTTCATTATTGCAAAGTTGAAACTTTGATTCGACAAGGTTATCAAAATTCAATGCTTGGAAACATTCGAAGTAATGATTATTATAAATTACAAAATGCTTAAATACAGCCCCGGAATAACGCCTGAAAAGCTCTCCGAACGCTGCTGAGATCCGTGAGATCACAATATGGACATGATTTGCACAAGCAGACGATGTCCCATGACATCTCACACATTTTCAGTGCCTGTGTTTTCATCTTCTCTTGAGTTCTTTCTCTTACTTCACTACCGTCAGGCTAAATGTATAATATATTGCCTCACTCTAAACCCCGCGCATGGTTTAATTTTGATGACGAATGCAGCGATACAAAAATAAAGGAATCTGTTGCTTTAAACAAAATAAGACGCCATTGTATTTTCAGCTGCACACACCGCGGTATGTACGGCGTTTCAAGAGGAAACAAATGCCGTCCTTAATATCATTCCAGGGGGGGGGGGTTCAATTTGAAAGTCTTGTGTATTTACAAACAAAAGATTTTAGTTATCAGAATCGGGTCATATCCCCTTTTGAATGGTTTGACATGCCATTACATTTATATACACTAAACTCATTATAATTTGACAAATAATAGCTGTGCAATTATGTTCATTCTTTATGGGGTGTCGTCTGCTTTGGCAGTATTGGTCCATATAGTGACGTCATTAAAACATCGTTATTTTTCTGGTGAATCTCTCGTATATTCTAGCTGCTATGGAGGTGGTTGTATTTTTTTAAAATCACCCGATATGTAGTTGACCTAAAACTTGTACGATGGCCATATGTTAGCTTACCAGTTTCTAGTGATACATTAGTTGACATATTTTTGATTTTTTGTTTTAATTTTACCTTTAACCTATCAAAGATTTTACCCGTATATACCGCTTAGCTGTTCTAACAAATCTGCACACAATTGAGAAGTCTGATATTAAACAATACTTTGCGATTATATTTTGGGGTATTTTTCCCCTATTTAGTAAATCGGAGAACTGAAAAGGGGAAATGAAATAATCACTTATACTTAGATAACTAATAATTGTTTTTCAACAATATATGATAGGAACAATGCATCCCATCTGTACAACTATATTGTTTTAAAGTACGCCTTGCTGTGGTAAATTCGTTGTCCGGGTATTACAGTTACTGTCTATGTTGATTATGGAATATATTATACCATTCACTGTAATGTGAATATTTCAATTGCTAATTCAAATCAAATCTCACCTGTTATCACACTCCTGACGAGGGAATTACCGAGAAAGACGAAAATAATCTCGATAAAAAGAATATATCTTCCTTGTGAGACCATTTTCAAATCCAGCTCTGTGTCACTCCTTCACTTGGTGTAAATCAGTCATTCAATGGGTCTAGGAGTTATCTGGAAAGCAAACAATGTAATATGAATACCTTTTCATCTTTAATTCTTTGTGCAAAAACTCCTATGACGTACGTATACTAATTGCAAACAAATGAAGTTTGAATCGTGGTTCTCATCTCATAAATCCCACTGTATAGTGTGCCCTAACATGGGACTATCATAACTAATATACACGAACAATGTTACCAATCTTTTGGTGGAAGAAATCAGAAAAATCAGCAAAGCACTCAGAAGAAAGTTTGAATGAAATCGAACAAGAAATGAGAAAGAATTGTTGAAAGCTGCAATCACCATAGGTATGGGATTTTTTTTAAAAGCTTAATCGGTAATGTCTCGGTGGTGTAGTGGCAGACAACTTTCTCATTTGTTAATTTAATAAAATTACCGAAACAACAACAAAAAAAACAACAAAAAAAAAATAAAAAAAAAATCAATTTTTCAAAAACTATTCCTCGGGATCTTCTTTTCTTTCTAAAGGACATTTAATAAATATACTGTCCATGAGATATTTTGAGTAGTGCCCCAAGGGTGAAGGTAATTGGGAGAAAAAACAGAAATAATGATATTTTTGTACACGACAAACGAGAGCCTGAGTTATCCGACACTACGTCACAATCTACACATTTATTTATTTATTTATTTATTCATACATATTTATACAGGTTCACAAGATCAGAAATAAATCTGTTTTACATATTGGAACTGGTATTAAAAGCATAGTATATGTACCAACAAAATTGCCACTTTGAGATTCGCATCGCTGTAGTGATCTCATATTTCAAACATTCATATCTTTCTTATTATTGATCGGATTAATTTCAAACTTTCGCTATTCCGTTTCTCTGATGTATCTGCTTTTATTCAAATGAACCTATTACATGGGTTGCTTTCCCTTTAACAACATTTTTTGGGTCAAAATATGGAAATAACTTCACCTCTCCTAATAGAGTCCACACTGCAAGAGGCGAGTTGTAGTGTGCCCTAAGCCCCTAACATGCTTACATGGGTCTGTGTAATATTTATACGGACAAGGTTTCCTCTTTTAAAAAAGCACTGAACAACTCTTTTCTCAAAATATGCGTCGAAATAAGTTAAGAACTCGTTATCATATACTCACATTATTTATTCCTCGGAACGCAAAAGGACGTTTGGTTATGATTCGTTATTCAATGTCAGTGCGTTTGCTTCAAGGTGTTTCTCAACAATCGTTTTCAATTTGACAGAGTACGATATAGGCCTACAGTATGGAGTTATGTTAACAAATTTTAAAGGGGCTATCGTTTATTTAGATGACTCGAGAAATAAATATCACCTACACCTAATTTTATTTGCCGTATAAGTAAAATATGAGGGATGAAACTCAGGGGCGGATCCAGCCGGCGGCAGGGAAGGGGGCCCAAAGAGGGGGCCCAATTCGTGAGAAAATATTTAGCAGCGAAAAAGCCAGCCGGTGAATATATATAGGGGAGGGGGCCCGTCACCAAATAAAGGTAAAATTTACGTGTTTTTCCCTGTTTTTTTCCAGGGGAGGGGGCCTGGGCTCCCGTCCCCCTCCCTGGATCCGCCACTGATGCAACTAAGACAAATCAAAGACCATTATGAGCTCAGTCATTTATGAAGAAGGGTCTACTATAGTCGGTGCAATCACTACCAATATATTCCCTTCTACATTGTGACTTCATAACTCATAGGTCCCCATGCAGTTCTCAATACTGCTTTTTTGCATTTCAATTATGGATAAGTACATCAACTTGGTGTTGTAATAGGAATCCGGTAACTTTGTCTCAGATTCTGAAACGAAATCCTGGATTTAGCTCATGCTGCAATGATAATTATGAAACTTTAGGTTGGTCAGGAATCCCATGACTTTTACAAGCCGATCGCCTGTCTGATTATCAGGATATTTATGATTGGAAATCGAAACTAAATTTTGCGTTTTCCTAAATGTTTTCGTAACACTAAAGTCTATTGGGGAAATCGAGTATGGTAACTCAAATATTTTTATTTAGTGAGGCATTTCTTGATCATAGTGCTTCAATTATATCACGCCATATCACAAACACTAATTACACGTAGGGCTGTGCATCTCAGATTTAAAATTGTTAAACGACATTAAGGAATAATGTACTGTCCAAGCGCATAAGCCCTAAATTCGGGTCCTACCTATAACTTGAAAATGCTCATATTGTTACTAAATGTTTTTAAAAAATCGTATTAAATTATAATTACGGAAATGGGAGATTCGGCCTCGTTATGAGGATTGCACCTTTAAACGCGGAAATGATAAACCGCAGTGTTGAGGAAGTAAAGTTTGTTTTATTATCTGTGGTTATTACCATGCAACAATAATATTATGTTTGTTATTGTACTGCACAAGGTGCTATAATACTTGTATTTTTTCGAAGTTTCACTTTCCTATACTATCAGCTAAGGAAATCAGAGGTTTAAAATTTAGGGGGAAACTAATTCAAATAAAGATAAAGAGTCAAGTACGGTAAATGTATCGTCTTATTTCTATAATAATTCAATGAAACGTCTAAGCTTTCACGCTTCGTGCGGGAGAGGGGAACTGAATTCAGACAAGGATTAAGAGTCGAGAACAGCAGTATAAATCGTCTGCGTTCTCTAATAATTTAAGGAAACGTCTCAGCTCCCGCGCTTCGCGCGGGAGGGGAAACTGAATTCAGATAAGGAATAAGAGTCGAGAACGGTACAACGAGTCGTCTTCTTTCTCTAATAATTTAAATATGAAACGTCTAAGCTTCCGCGCTTCGCGCGGGAGGTCCTTTACCCACCCCCTATAGGGGAGTGCGCTTTGCGCGCTCTTCAAGTGATTCGCTAGCTCACTACCGCCACCCGAAAATAAGATACTAGCTACGTACCTGCATTTAGATATATAGCTATGATGCTGGCTAAGTTGACGAAATAATTCGTATATTTATGTCGTCGAGGAAAATGACCATTTGCGCATACGCAAGTACGATATGAAAAACAATTAAGCCTTCGGCTCCAGGTTTATAGGGTTATTTATAGACATTGGGACCATTTTGTCGGTAATTGGTGGCTAGTATTGTCGGTAATCGGTGGCCTCTATACCCCCCCCCCCTCCTCCACTGAAAAAGGTCTAGCGACGCCCCTTGGCACAGTGTAAAAAGGATAATCTCATTTTTAGGGCGGTAAGGCTTACGAACCTAACGGCCCGAATTCACAAAGGAGGTTTGTCGACAAACCTAGGTTTAGGTGCGCGTCAAAACGCGTCATATGACGTACATAAACCTAGGTTTGTCGACAAACCTCCTTTGTGAATTCGGGCCATTATGTTTTGGTGAAGACTACATGGTCTGAAATTCAAGACTACGTGGTCTGAAGTTCAAGACTAGGCAAATATAGAAAGCCTACGTCAGATTGTGTACCTTGATATCGAATGCAATAATGGAGCAAAAAAAGAGAGGAAAAATTGCAAGTCATCGCGTTCTATTTTGAAGCAGCGGTGCGTGTACTTCCGTGCATATCCATGCGTATATATATATATATATATATACGCTTCATGTGCGGCGAGTAATCTTCGTTCAAGTAGACTTCAGGAGACTGTGTGCCCATCCCCATCATCATCTTGCTTTCATCGGAGACCTAATCGGGACATCAAAATAAGAAAATAATTCACCATGCCTTCGTATAAGTTGATGTATTTTAACAGCCGAGGCCGAGCCGAGACATCCCGCATGCTCTTCGCGCTGGCGGACCAGAAGTACGAGGATTACAGGTTCAAAGATGGAGAGTGGCCTGGAGAGCTGAAAGGCAATGCAGATTGTAAGTAGGTCTATGGTAGCTTCAAGTTCATAGGATCTCTTGAAAAGGAATTTATCCCCGATAGATTTTCACGTAACATACACAATGAGAGAGAGAGCAAGAGAGAGAGAGAGAGAGAGAGAGAGGGGGGGGGGGGGGGGGAGAGAGAGCGAGAGAGAGAGTTGGGGGTGGGCGGGGTCAATATTATCAAATTGATGGTTATTCTTCAAGTATATAGGTCTTGTTTCCTTTGAATGCAATGTATTTTGCGTACATAATTAAGATTATTTATTGATAACGCTATGTCCACCAAACCTCTGTCATTATTTTTTGGGGAAGGGGTACAAGATCATACAGGCAAATTAGATTCATTAGTAAATGTGGTCTGTTCTTTATAATGTGTGCCATACTAAATCGTTTTCCTGAGATATATATACTGGACATTTCAAAGACAAATACATGGGAATAGTAAAATATTTCGTCTGGTCTTTGGTTCCTGCCTGACGGAAATGTCTACTTTTGAACTACTGTAGATTACGCTCCCTATTTCTCACCTCCCCCCCCCCCCCCACCTCTCTCTCTCTCTCTCTCTCTCTCTCCCATGTGTACCCATCATCACCCATTTACATCCTCTCATTGCATCCTCCCTCATTTCCTCACTTCCCTTCAACCATACGAGCTGCTTTTTGAGCGTATTTCACCCTTTGAACACTCGACAGCAATGCAAATATGTATTTCACGTCCCTTCTCATTTCAAAATTTCGCGTACACAGTATTGCGAAATATAATATATCATCATACATGACCGTGTCATGCAAACGTTAATATTACCCGCACATCGATCAGGGTAGCGTTTCATGAAACCGTCATAAGTCCAAGTTCACCGACATCCCAATGAAACGTGTGTTAAACTTAATACACGCATGGGATGTCGTTAGACTTGTACTTATGACGGTTTCATGAAACGCTGCCTTGGTTTCATAATAAATAACTAAGTCTGACACCTCTGCTGCGTAATGTATGGAGAAAATTGACCGGTGTATATACATGTACTAGCATATTGAAATGTTATGCATACTTGTTAAACAAAGTTTAATGCAGAAAAGATTAATAATCTATGAACTGGTCTCTGGATCAGGGGTGTCTGTATTCACAATGTTCAAACGGCAGCAAGGTGTATGATACTCGTATTGTCATTGTATTCCCAGGGCCCGGTGGATGTGTCGACGCAATAACCTTGAACTAGCTGTATGAAATTGTATTTCATTGTTCAGCTAGTCTCTGACGAAGACACACATAAATTATGCTTAATATACATTTATTACAAGTTTGTTTATTGGGGAATGGTGTTTGGTACACTTTGGGACTGTTTCCCGGAGGGGGTGGGGGTGGCATACAATATAATCTGTAGGACCATTTTGAGTATGTTCGGTGTGTTTTCATTCAACTGGATTTCAATTGAAATTTAGATTGCTTCGTAGGTGTTCTTTTTCTCATTAAAAATATATTAACTACACAGGGTTTTGTTTTTTTGCTAGGCATGTATTTTTTTTAATGGAGGAAAAAGCATTGACATTTTGTAATAACTTATAACTCAGAAATATAATGCTACTTTCTCTACTCTCTCTCCTTATCTCTCTCCTTGTCCTTCTCTCTCTCTCTCCTTGTCCTTCTCTCTCTCTCTCTCTCTCTCTCTTCTATCGTGACAGTGTTTCCACTCGGCCAGGCTCCTGTGTTGATCATCGACGGCAAGGCCATGCCTCATAGTAAGGCAATCCACCGCCATCTTGCTCGGGAGTTCGGTAATTATACTATTCAAATTTTTAATTAAACTGGTGACTCTTGCATAACGTTTGAAGTTTTTTTTTAAAGTTTCATTTATTTCACAGTTTGTATTCTTTTCTTTTTTTATGCAGGCGAATATTAATATAAGAATAGATTTCACACTTGATCCCTTTCAGGTCAGTGATTTTTTAGGGCTAAAGCGATCACAGAATGTTCTTCAAATTGGCAACAATAATATTGGTTTCTAATATTCGATTGAAAACGCAGTTTTCTCAGAATAATAAACATGGCTAGGGAATTTGTCGACAAGTTGAAAAAGTGGCAAATTTTCAGATTTAAAAATCTTATCCTGCTGCGAATTTAAGAATTGTAATGCATTTTCTTCAATTCCTTGTGTCAAATGCAATGTCATCATGTAACAAAAGTGGACACATTAATTACAGAAATGTTTGCCCTTTCTTTTTCATGCTTGTGGTAAGTTTTTAGGGCTCTGAATCAAACGTTGCTGAGCCAAACCACAAACTGTTGAATAGTTTTACACTAAATGTCGGGCGCAAGTAGAACTTTAAGCCAATCAGGGACTTAGGACTTGCGTTTATAACATTTGGGAGTTGCGCACCTTTGTTATGCAAGACATCTAGAACTACTAAAACAACTAACTTCGCAGCTTAAACTTATTAACCAACCAGTATCGTGCCTTTAGGACTTGCGTTAAAGTTACGAAGTTGGACAACCGTTTATGCAAAACGCCCCTGTGCATTTAAACTTCAGGAAGTAGAAGAGTATTCTAGATTATGGTAAAGTGAAGTGATGTTGATACGCATTGTAACAGTAAGCTAGCAAACTACTAGCCCATTACAATGACATGATTCACTGAAGAAAATATAAAAAAAGGGAATTGATTTAAATAATATAAAGTACCAAAGTGTGACGTCATACTGGCCAAGTTTTCAATAGTCGAGGTTGCTGGTTCCAAACAATATCTGCTAAACAATGATGTGATGATCACACCAGCCCCAAACACTGAATTTGCCCTGCCCCAGCCCGTTGCTTTAATTGTTTCGCGGTGAACCTCATGAGCAGGCTCTTTTGTTTAGAACCAGTACCCTGGACGACGAGCGAGGATGACGTTAGCAATTCGGTTATCCATTTTATCATTAGAATTTCAGACTAGTATGGCCAAAACCTTTTCAGGGCACGTTTTTTTTTTTCTATGATGCTCTTCTAACCTGACAAAAATAAAATCAGAAAACTGTTTTGATCTTTCCAAGAATTTAATCTTCTCTTTAATAATAATGGATGTTTTGTAAATTGATGACTTTATTTTGGATGATCCGTGTAGGTTTTTACGGTGCCAATAATGAAGAGGCCAGGCAAATAGATGTAGTCAGTGAGACCGTTGAAGACATCGTTACCAAGATGTTACCCGTACACTTCGAGAAGGACGAAGCCAAGAAGGTACCACTGTGAAAGCAAATCATTTTATTTTATTTTATTTATTTACTTTATTTATTTATTCATGCATGTTCACAATTTCACAATTCATTGAAGTTAACATCACATGAAAAATGAATACATTATATAACAAATCATTTCAATTTTACAATTCATTTGACTTGACTTCACTTGAAAAAGAATATAACAATGATTTATCAAGGACATGTTGCAACTAATATACAGTTTGAAGAAAGAACACACAAAGGTGATGAAACATAAGCAAATTGAGCTTGAATCGTTACAACACCTTTCAAATATATAACATATGACAAATAAAATTCCTAAAGTTTTGTAGTACTATTTACACTATTTACAAAGAAAAAAAATTGTTAAGCCTAGTAAAAAAAAAAAAAAATTATGTAAGATATAATTAGAACTGATATATAGATTATATAATTTAAGTAATATCTTACATCTGTGAAATGATAATACATTTAAGTGCTCTTTTAAAGGAGTTTGTTGATTTTATATTTCGAATATCATTAGGTAAAGAATTCCATACATCTGGACCTCTGTGTCTGATTGATTTCTGGGCTAATGTAGTGTGAGGATTGACCACATGTAAATTTGATGACTGCTTTGTTGAATACGAATGAACCATGTTATTAGGTTTTATGATTTTACTTATATAATGTCTGGCGCCAAAAAAGTTGAAGCAATATGACACGTACCTATACATGTCAGCCTATGTTATGTTTCACTCAATCATTGAGCTACTAATGTAAATATGTATTGAAATTATGGAAATAAAAACATCGCTTGAGGATAAGAGGGATGCTGTAGCGGCCTGTTTCCAGAGTATATAGACAGTTCTGCACACGGTACATGCGCCTGACGACCCGACTACCTCCGAAGGGATTGAGGAAATGTTTTGCTTTTCCACGCTGCTTTATGTACCCATTTCTGGTTTGATACGAACTGTTTTTTCCCGAGGCAATGTGGAACCCATGCACATATTGAAATTATATTATGAAGCAGCGGTTTTCATTAACAAATATTTCATGATTAAATGTAACTTTTCTTTTTCTTGATGCGTTTTGTCCTTTCTCCATTATCTTTTTATTGCAACCTGCAGGCGGAGTTACTAGAAGCATTCAAGATCGCAGTTAAGCCGTTTCTCTCTTTCCTCAACAAATATGTGGACAACAAACAATTCTTTGTTGGAAATAAGGTAAGTTACAATTAAAAACCGGTGTAAGAAATAAATATACACGACAGGTGGTAGGTATATCATCATGTAGAGCTTGCCATGTATTTCCAAACATGTTTTGGTTAAATAATGTTTCCGAATACTTAATTCCTGTTCTGCATCTGTATATTCCTAGGTGGATGTCTGGTTTCTCTCTCTCTCTCTCTCTCTCTCTTTCTTTCTCTCTCTCTCTTTCTCTCTCTCTTTCTCTCTCTCTCTCTCTCTTTCTCTCTCTTTCTCTCTCAATTGGGATTAACGAAAGGCCATTATTATAGTCACAATATAAGGTTGGATGGTGGGAAAAGCATGTGCATTGTTCAAAAATTGTGTTGTCATACTTCTTTTCTATAATCATTCCTTAATCGCAACGAAAGGTTTTTTTTTCTCTGTGATCCTTTCTATCTCCCTCTTCTTGTAAGCATTAGTTTTCTTACTGCACTTAGAAATGCGGTGATCCATCAAGGGAACTGATTCTGTCTCATTAAGCACGCCCATCATGACCCTTTCTAAATGTTTTGTGTGTCATCATTGTTTTTACATTTTCATCAAATTGTAGCCCAAGTATAAGGCATGCTAGACCCAAGTTTAAAACTTTACTCCCCCTTATCGTTTGCTGGTCTGACATAATGTGTGCAGAGTTCGAAACTATTCACAGTATTTCCTCTCTCCTCCCCCCCCCTCCCCCTCCCCCTCCCCCTCCTTCTCCCCTCCTTCTCCCCTCCCCTCTCTCTTTCTCTCTCTCTCGCTCTCTCTCTCTCTCTCTCTCCCTTCCTTCCTTTCTCTCTCCATTTCACCCTTCTCTTTGTCCATCAAATGCATCTGTTCTCGGATCATCTCATGGTAGTTGTATCTCTCTCTTTAAACAATACTGAATAATACAAATTCACAGGCAACCCTTGCCGATGTTACTGTATACACTACGATGGAATATGTTCATAGCATGTTCGGGGAGGATTGTATGACAGCGAGTTGGCCAGCGCTTGCCCGATTTTACAAGTACATCACCGAAAGCTCCGAACTGGCCGTGTACATCAGGAACCGCCCTGTGACTGCCCATTAATAAATATAAAGTGAGCCCCATTTCATCTATTTTCAATTACATGGCTCTTTCTGTTCAGCATGGATAGATTTTTTTTTCCCCGCTTGTATTCAAATTAATATGATTTTGCATTTTGCTTTTCCGCCTCTCTCTCTCTCTCTCTCTCTCTTTTCTTTTCTTTCTGTACGTCTTTGTATTTTCTTTCTCTCGTCGAACCTTAAACTGTTGCGTCACTGCCTAATAAATTCTCTTTTTTGCACAGCATGCAGGGTAAAATATGGAGCTAACCACATTTTCCTCATTTAGCCAAAACATAACTTCCCCTTTAACACGCCACCACATCTTGACATCTGCCAATTCAATGTGACCAGTTTGCATGTTTGTCAGCTTCCAATGAAAAGAGGGCAAAAGAAGATTAAACGACCCCCATTTACACCCTACCCCTATAAGCAATGGACTTATTAGTTACCGAGTGAGACCGGTAACCCCTCCCCCGACTTTTAAAGTCGATGATGGCAAAATCATTTACAAAATGTTTTTTTTTTAGCAAAGACATAAAAGCAATGGAAGTAGATATAATATAAAAAAAACCTTCGCTAAGGAGGAAGACGATTACAAAATTCATGGGCAAATCCTGATGACATAAATCCAAAGAAATGTGGAAGATTTGAAATAGATTGTCACCCCTTCCTCCATGTCGTTACTCCCCTGTGCGGCCCTGCCCTCTTTCTGCATCTATCTATCTTCACAGGAAAAACACGACTTATTTTGGTGAAGCCCCTGTCCTCTCTCCATTCAAGAATTCAAATATAAAAGAATCTCGCTTTCATGTTATTTTTTTCTCATTTATCTAAACCTTTTGCAGGAAACTCTGGGTGACGTTGTCGTGTTCTGGATGTTAGATTTCATGGGTCCCATGCTTTCATCTGCCTTCACGGATTACCCAGCTTTGCACAGCTTCTACAAGGGCATCAAGGAGAACTCCAAGCTCACAGAGTACCTTAAAGGGCGTCCCGACACACCAAACTAAAAAGCTCGCAGCGTATCTTAAAGGGCGTCCCGACACACCCAACTAAAGAGCTCGCAGCGTATCTTAAAGCCCCACTGCACTACTTATAGCTACTTGCGCCCTCTATATAGCAAACAATGCCTAATCGGTGATCGTTAGTCCCCCATGGTCCCATTTTTCATATGTTAATTGAGAGCTGATTCGATGAGGTAACCACCTGTCAGTGACCTTGCAGGGAGGTCTAATCCCCCTAGCCAAACTAGTGCAGATAGGCTTTAAAGCTAATCTTGAGCTCTGGTATGGGAATCGTATGTCGAGAGAACATGGTTATAATTCATTCTGGATTGTTTATCCTTCAGTAGATTGATTGTTCAAACCAGTAAAATCTTTAAACAACTCACAAACACTTGCTGGATATCATCTTCAATTAAAACCATAACTCTCATTTGCACATAGTGACCTGTGTTAAGCACATTGTGTTGGGTCTAATTACTCACCCCTATACATTTTCTACCAAACTCGTTTGGAACATGTCGTTCATTATTTTGCAATCTTGAACATTCAGTGTAAGTTCTATTGGATTCTGTAAGAATTTATTTCTATCATTACCAGAACTCAAACTTATCTTTAGAACCGCCCCGTCTCACCGAGTTGCCTACTGCATTCTTTCATTGGTATAAAGGCTTTAATTATTGTTAATTAAATACATCTTTTCACAATGCCTTTAATCACAGTTCTCTTCAGATCCTTCGAAATTGCGTATTTTTAATAGCAGAACCTCACACAAAACAATATGTTCAAAGGGACGAGTTTTCTTTCAATAAACAGAAACGAATATGTTGCAAATACATAGTTCAAACTCGTTTGGTACTATATCAATAAATTGCATTATTGTGTGAACCTATATACACCCAACAACCATTGCTTCAAAGTAGGTTCTTTTTTATTTTCTGTAACTAAATAATTTCGCATTACAAATCTATAAAAAAAAAAAAATGTCAAAGATATTTCTATGCTAATTTTCTGTTGATATCATTACGTTTATTATTGTGATTATCTTGTCATTGTTTATATTATGTGGAAAACGAATTAATTCGCTCTGCAAAGAGCGACTGCTACTAGTACTACTAATGTTTTCAAATTATCCTCCATATTTTGTTTTGCCACCCGCCCCCAGGATTTGTTTAAAAAGTATGCACAACATTTGCAATTGTTAGTTCGTTCGTTCGTGTCTCCTTAGAATCAAGATTAATGTAATCTTGATCTTCGGAGTAGTTGCTACAAACGGCCGTGTCAGACACGTTGCCCCGGGGTGCGAGATAGGACTCTTGTAGCGTACCCCCATTTAAAACAATTATACAATAACAGTTAACATTAAATTTAATTAATAGTATGAAACTATTAAAATTACTCTCATGTTACGGGAAAAAATATTGCATATATATAATATGAATCAATTGATTTGGTCGATCCAGTTCGATGGCACAAACACGGCACTACTGGACAGAGATCCTAATAATTACAGAGCTTAGTACACCGGTGTATTCCCGGAGTATCAACCAATATATACGCTAAATCATTTAAGGAAACTCGTTGGTTGTAAAAATAATTTAAAAAATCGGCTAACTAATAACAGAAATAGTATCCTTCCGATTTTTTCGTTTATTATGGTCGTCAATATAATATAATCATGAAGGACACAGAATAAACAAACACGCAGCATATTTGACCTTTGTACGTTGGACTTCACCTTACTAACCCCTCTCTCTCTCTCTCTCTCTCCCAGCCACTGTTTAGTCTATTAATGAGACTTTTTCATACAGCGCGAACACAACATGTTCCGAAACCAAACCTATGCATGTTGCCGGGTTTTTAAATGGCGTTTAACATTCAGTTTTAAATAATTTAAACCTTAACTATAATGTTATGACTAACAACACTGCAATTTGTAGTAGGCCTACACGTATACCCTGTATTTCGTTTGTAAAAAACTGTGATTTATTCAAATGATATTAAATAAAAACGAATTTTAAACAAATAGCTTCGAGTCTTCACCTTAACAGCTTTATGTGTGATAGTCTGACATCTAGATCATTGGATTAGCTCATTATTAGGTCACTGTACGACCCAGAAAAAACGAAACCGAGAATTACCGGTGTTTTATCGTAACTTAATCACAATTACAATTAAGAAATGACACATATTTGTAAAGCTTAGATCCTCCTCTTTCATTTGATGCAACTCGTACGTTCACGAGACATAGACGAAAGACTTCATGCATGGCTGATTGTTAATGAAACGGAGTTAAGTCTTGTCAATTCTGCTTGTTGCTACGGCAGGCATCCAGTGAAAACGAACTTTAAAAATCAAATTATGGGAATGCAAGCATCAATTTAAACAAACAGAACTTTGTTATTCCTGGCTCATTGTTCCTGTCATATGAAAGAGCAGAAACTGAACTTTCTAGAAATGTGAATTTGTCTTCGAAATTCAGATACCACCCGCCAAATGACTTTTTTGTTTCCTTCCTTCAAATTGTTTTTAATCACTCATGCGTGAAACATGCATCATATGAGTTGTATCAAATGGAAGAGGAGGATCTAAGCTTTACAAATATGTCATTTATTAATTATAATTTTGATTAATTTATGATAACACATTGATAATTTTCGGTTTCGTTTTTTCTGGGTCTCACTGTATACGCATCATCCACAATTATGAATGCCTTTTCACAATTTCACTCGACTGTGAAGAAGTTGTTAGTATTGAAGCCTTTTGATTAGGCTATAAAAATGAATTTTAAAAACACTCCTGTCATGTGCTTTTGATTTGATTTGAGGTGATAGCGATTTTCATACAAATTATATATCATGAAGAACTAGATGGAATTTTGACTGCGCGCAGTCGAAAATGATGCCTCCGCCATAGAGCAATTTAAACAAGTTTGGAGTTTAAATCTCCAGTGGTTCTTGAGATATCATGATAACAATCTCAATGTATGGAATTTCATAAGTTGACCTCTGTGACCCTTGACCTTTGACCTACGTGCTCCAAAATCTAATCAGATTGTCTTCCTATGGTGATACACACTATCATTAAGTTTGAAGTTTAAATCTCCAGTGGTTCTTGAGATATTATGATATGGTGATACATACTATCATTAAGTTTGAAGTGAAAATTCTCCAGTGGTTCTTGAGATATCGCGATAACGATCTCAATGTATGGAATTTCATAAGTTGACCTCTGTGACCCTTGACCTTTGACCTACGTGCTCCAAAATCTAATCAGATTGTCTTCCTATGGTGATACACACTATCATTAAGTTTGAAGTTTAAATCTCCAGTGGTTCTTGAGATATTATGATAACAATCTCAATGTATGGAATTTCATAAGTTGACCTCTGTGACCCTTGACCTTTGACCTACGTGCTCCAAAATCTAATCAGATCGTCTTCCTATGGTGATACATACTATCCTTAAGTTTGAAGTTTTTACATCGCCAGTGGTTCTTGAGATATCATGATAACAATCTCAATGTATGGAATTTCATAAGTTGACCTCTATGACCCTTGACCTTTGACCTACGTGCTCCAAAATGTAATCAGATTGTTTTCCTATAGTGATACACATTATCACTAAGTTTGAAGTTTAAATCTCCAGTGGTTCTTGAGATATCATGATAACAATCTCAATGTATGGAATTTCATAAGTTGACCTCTATGACCCTTGACCTTTGACATACGTGCTCCAAAATCTAATCAGATCGTCTTCCTATGGTGATACATACTATCCTTAAGTTTGAAGTTTAAATCTCAAATGGTTCTTGAGATATCGCGCTAACAAACTCAATACAAGGAATTTCATAAGTTGACCTCTGTGACCTGTGACCTTTGACCTACGTACTCCAAAATCTAATCAGATCGTCTTCCTATGGTGATAAATACTATTCCCGAGTCTTAAGTTTAAATCTTAAATGGTTCTTGAGATATTGTGATAACGGTCAAACGGGACGGACAACCCGAAAACATGATGCCTCCGGCACCACCTTCGGTGGCGGAGGCATAAAAATATACCGTATATAGGCCTATCTTTTCCACTTAACACTCTATTAAAATGTTATCTGTACAGGGCTGAACAGTAGTTGCAATTCTGTGCTCTTTCATTCATTATACTTCATTTAATAAAACAATAGGCCCATTATCGCATATGGCAAATCATTGTGTATGAGACACTTGTCTAGTGTCTTTACATTAACTTGATGTAAACACAGGTATATTTGTAGCTCAATAGAGTTATGCATTGAACTTGAAATATACCTGTGTCAGTAGTGACTGTTGATGTATTCGTTTGTATTTTATTATGCATAATATTTTATCGTTGTTCGAAGATGGATAAGGTTCCGATTTTAATATGACGAAGGTTAATATTTCTATACGTTTTATTCCCAGAGTAACGTGAACAGCTCACCACTCTATTTCATTTATTCATTTATGTGTAGTATGTTCTTTTACAGGTTAGCATTGAAAATTACAAAACTGTTTTATTTTTTACGATAGTTTGTAATTAGGACAAATACATATATTTTTTTTAAATCAATGAAACTTTAAACCCGAAGGCTGTCATTACTGACTAGAACCCTTTTCAGGTCTGAATCAAAAGACTATTACACACATAGTCTGTGTACTTTAATAGGAGAAGAAGAGAAAAATCCAACAATAGAAAATGAAAAATAGAAATGCAATTCATCGTGCGTGCGAGCGTTGTCCTTGTTAGGCGTTCGACCAGCGAGGCGTGTGATTCCGTATACCCAGAGAGATGTGACACATCTTCCTGGTATACCCAAGTGGTTGTTGTCGTCCTGTGTAGTCCCTATATTGCTAGCCTTCACCGTGGTCATTGGCGTCGAATATCGAGGTAACCGAGGAGATCAGTCACCATGCCGACGTATAAGCTGATGTATTTTAACGTTCGAGGCCGAGCTGAGGCTACCCGGATGATCTTCGCGCTCGCGGGCCAAGATTACGAGGATTACAGGTTCAAAGAAGGGGAGTGGCCAGAAATCAAAGGAAATACAGAATGTAAGTAAAATCCTAATTAAGATAGGCCTATATTCTGTCCCGAGCTGATATTATACTAGATGTCATATTTAGTAATTATTTCTCTTGCTCAGGCAAATTAAATTTGATTTGATGTGATGTTAACTAGCCGGATGGCCATACCTTGCCAGCATATTTCATTGCGTAGAAAATATGTTTAAAAATACGTCACTCTCCAGGGGCGGATCTAGCTGGCGGTGAGGGTGGGGGCCCAATTCTTAAGAAAATATTTAGCGGCGAATCAGCAGGCGAATAAATGGGGGGGGGGGGGGTTTGGAGCACTATTTTTTTTTACCCAACACCTACGGCCAATATCGATTATAGGACCGCCGTAGCATTCCCACGGTCAGAAACGGTTGCGGTCACATATACACTGTTGGTCATAATGGTGGAATAATTATTTTTACCCCAGTTTAGGGAAGGATTTTAAAAAATTATTTATTTCTAATAGATCTAGAAAATGGCATACATTCTCAGATTTTATTGAATACTAATTTGCGAGTATTTGTTTTGCGTGACTGCTTCATCATATGTGTGTTACTATGCTAATCAGCTAGGGAACCTACGTCCTTAAATCATAATTGACAGAAATGAGGATTAATGCCTCACAAAAGGGCACTGATATATAGCTGATCGACACGATTTTTATCCTGGGGCCTCACAGTAACGAGGCAATTGCTTAGCCTCTGAATCATGACTGTACGCAGTGTTTACTAGGGTACGCGGCCGCCCCCACAAATCCCCCAAAACGAAGAAAATGCAATAAATTGTCAAAAATTCATTGCAATTTCCCCCCCCCCCCCGCCCCCAACAGGAAAAATTTCTCTGTGTGGCCATGCCTTGAACCATAATGCATGGCCCTACAGAGGAATTTTTCCTGTTGGGGGCCGGGGGAAAATGCAATGAATTTTTGACAATTTATTGCATTTTCTTCGTTTTGGGGGATTTGTGGAAGGGGCCGCGTACCCTAGCAAACACTGCGTACAGTCATGATTCAGGGGCTAAGCAATGGCCTCGTTACTATGAGGCCCCAGGATAAAAATCGTGTCGATCAGCTATATATCAGTGCCCTTTTGTGAGGCATTAATCCTCATTACTGTCAATCATGACTTAAGGACGTAGGTCCCTTAGCTGATTAGCATAGTAACACACATATGATGAAGCAGTCACGCAAAACAAATACTCGCAAATTAGTATTCAATAAAATCTGAGAATGTATGCCATGATCTAGATCTTTTAGAAATAAATAATTTTTAAAAATCCTTCCCTAAACTGGGGTAAAAATAAATATTCCACCTTTATGACCAACAGTGTATGTTAGGGAAACCGCACTGCGTATTTTAAATTGTGGATACAGAAAATCTTTGGCGGCCGTAGCTTTATGACAAATAAGGCAGACGCAAGGTAGCCGAACGGTGCCTACAAGGCGGCCGAAGGGGGACCATACGTTAACCGTGCTACCGCTTCACCCCGATAGTATTATGGATCGCAAGGCTACCGTACAGCCGACGTACGGTCGCCGTGGAACCGCTCTACGGCATGGCTACCGCGTGTCTAATCGCTACGGCGATCCTAGAAATGAAAACAGTTATAACTCCGCGTTATAATCCCACGATGACCCGTACGGCCTGTACAGATAGGGATACGCCCTAGGGTGACCCTGAGGCCACCGCAGATTATCTGCGGCTGCCGCAAATATCTCTCGATTTCGGGTGCGTACGACCGCTGTATCCTAGCCGTAGAGCAAATGTGACCTAGGCATTATCCATCAAACTGGGCTATCAATATGAACTCCGTTGGCAACAACACTCAACGACCAATCAAATTGAAGTTTCCATGGAAGTTACAATAACAATAGCAAAGTTAGCATACATTTCAGCCCTGATCAGGCGCGTAGCCAAGGGGGGCGGGGCGGTCGCCCCCCCCCCCCCCCCCAAAAAAAAAGAGAGAGAGAAGAGAGAAAAGGGGAAGAGGACGTAGGAAGAAAAGAGAGCAGACATAGAAACATTTTTTTGTAATTCAGACAAGGATTAAGAGTCGTGAACGGTACAACGAATCGTCTTCTTTCTCTAATACCCCTCATCTCTCTCTCTGCACCCACCCCCTATAGGGAGCGCGCTTCGCGTGCTCACTACCGCCCCCTAAAATAAAACCCTAGCTACGCGCTTGGCCCTAATTAAACTTAGTCCGCTTATTCATGAAACAGCAAAATGTCATGCTGTTCATGTAGTACCAATTACTCTGATTCTGTGTAACAAAATTATTAAACAAAATCAATCCGTCGTTAAAGGAAAGTGAACAAAATATGATTTCATGCTGACATGATTCTTATTTGCTCATTTAATAGATAATTACAATTTTTCAATGGAATAAGGAGATTCAGTGGCTTATAACAATTATCATAATTTTGCTATTGATAACAAGTTTTATGACACAGGGGCTCTGGGCTTCAGTGCGACCTACCGTCATTCAATGGCCAGCTTAGGTGGCTTAGGTGGATTGTCGGTAATGAATTCGTAAAATGTTATTTCAATTCCTTTACAATGTTTAGAGAAATGAAAGATTATCATCCATCTCGTATCTTTCTGTTTGAACAGTGTTTCCATTGGGTCAGTGTCCCGTACTGCTCATCGATGGAAAGGCGATGCCACACTCTAAGGCCATCAATCAGCATCTCGCAAGAGAGTTCGGTACGTATACTGCTGTTCTTGTTCTTATTCCCTCGCTCCCCCCCCCCCCCCCCCCCATACAGGCCCACTGTTATCCATTGTTTATGTGTAGCCCATTCATGCAAACATCATTCCAAAAGTCATAGACACGGATCTGATCATGGCGACTTTATAATAAAATAATTAAATACAGGGTCTAAATATCTACTTACATGCAGATTTGGAAAATAATTTTGAAGATTTGATGGTTCACTCGGACTTGGCCCCAAACACATTCGCACCGCCATGATGAGATGGCTCGCGTCGATGTGGGCGTGTCTTTATAACTTTTTTTTAACCAATCACGTTGCTCAAAATGTTTCCCATAGCTGAATGGTTTGGGAATCACAATTCGCCCCCGGCCCCTCGACCCCCACGTCCTTCTACTACTTCTCCGACCTTGCTAGATTCCACCTCCCCGCTTCCTCCTCTTCAAAGGGAATTATTAATATGCATGCATGAAACTTGCGCATGCATTGCCTCATGATCGACCTTGATGCTTTGCAAGCGGATTTCCGCCATACTGTAGAAGCACTATCGGCAGCTAGCTCTATTTTTTATCAGGTCAACTGTAACAGCATGATCCCCTGACCCTCTCTGCTGGAGGTTCCACTGGACGAACTCTAGCGTTTGGTGGGTTTCACGCTGTGGGCAAGTTGACCATGAGACGGCGCTGTGCAAGTTCATCAGTACAGGGTTGCTTCGATTAGATCATGGAGTTACTTTATTTATCTCCATGATTAGATTTAGATGTTGCACTTTAGGAGGATTTGTACACGTCATTATTTCATGGGATAAGGTAGTCCAGAATCTGGCCTATTTAATTTTGATCTCCACCCCCGTCTCCACCACACCAACGCTTCCTCTCCCTACTTAACTTGCTACCAGCCGATGATGGCGTGATCATTAAATTAGGAAGCCCGACGAAAGGCTGGGCTTGAGAGCATAATTATGAGTTTGTTGATGACGCCATCTTCGACGGCTTGAATCAAGTGTGTAGGGAAATTATAAAAGAGGGCGTTGAAAAGTGAAGTAACATTTTGTTTGGCTACCCTCGTAAAGGAAAGGAGAAGTTTGAAATGGAATTGATTGCGATTGATTCGGGTATATTGTAAAATTAATTTAATGTTTGAAATGGAAATGATCGTATTTGTTTAGGATGTATGTAAAATAGGGGGGGGGGTAACGCCTCCTCCCCCGCCTCCATGCACGCCACAGATTAGTGAATAATAATCCGTTTATCTCATTGCGTCTTCTGTCAGGTTTGTACGGTGCTAACAGCGCCGAGGCTGCGCAGATCGACATCGTGGGTGAGACCGTCATCGATATCGTCGCCAAAATATTGCCTGTCGCATATGAGAAGGATGAAAAGAAGAAGGTAATTACTGATTACAATCTGAGGCGGTTTCTATAATGTAGGTGCTGATGTCATAATTTAGTATAATATATTCTATTCAATTCAAAGTTCATCTATTCTCTCCCATATAAGCTATATCATCCGTTATATTCACACAAAGTGATCGGGTATATCTCTCACAAAGATACACATTTCCTTTTTTGTTTCCTGGAGCTACCATGTTTGTAATAATTACGCCCTCAATCATTTATGTTTTGAGTAAACGTGGGTTTCTTGTTGATCTCAATTATCTGTGGCTGCTAAAAAGCTCATTAATTTAAGCAAATTTTTACATTATTTTTAATTATATACCTCACTTAAGAAACCCAGGCATCTGATTTGTAGAAATTGCAGTAGTGGTTTTAGCCATTCCTGTAAATAAACGAAAAATGCCAAACCTATGTAATAGTTTTAGAGTAAATCAGTAAAATCCCGGGAAAATTCCTGAAAAATACAAATCATCGGTCAAATTGTTACATTATTATTTTGGTTACAGGCTACATAGCTGTGGACAGTAAAACAGGGTGAGGAAAATAGAAGAGATAAAGAAGAAAGAAAGAAAGAAAGAAAGAAAGAAGAGAGAGAGAGATAAGGGATGGAGAGGGAAGAAGTGAAAATATGAGATAGAAGAGGTAACGAAGAAAAGGGGGAGTTGAGATGTTTAATTGTCTTTATTATATATGTTTTCCTCTTTTCCAATTTATTTTATCATACCTTTTTTTTCCCATTTTCAGAAAGAGCTACTTGATGATTTCATGGATAAATCGTCGAAGCCATTTCTTCCTTACCTCAACAACTTGATTGAAACTGCAGGAGGCAGATTCTTTGTTGGAAACTCGGTAAGTAAACGCCCCATCCTCCCCCCCCCCCCCCTAAAAAAGGACAGAACTCTTTTATCGTCGTTTAGCCTCCCCAGCTCTATTCGGAGAGAAAATGCCAACATAATATTCACGAGAAAAAAAAATGACGTCAGGGGAGAAAAAGGGTGAGTCTTTGAGTGCCAGGTTAGAGGGACATAAACAGTGCGTCCAAGAAAAACGAAACCGAGAATTATCGATGTTTTATCATAACTTAATCACAATTATAATT